AGGTTGTCAAATTACAGAAGTCACCAGTTTGAGGGGACGCCGCCTTTAAGGCCGGTTTACCCACGTGGTAGACATGAAAATATGAGAAACTCGATTTCATTCAGTAGCGCCAAGCGAGCTCTACAAAATGTCTGTACACTTTTCACACTAGCATTTCAAAGGGCAATAGTGAGATTTTTCAAAGCTAGGAATCAAATAACAAACAACGATTCAAACAAAGTCGACCTATTTAACTTAAGCTACAAACATTTCTCCACACAATGACATTTCTATCTGACACTGTCGTCTAATTGCCCATTGCCCCTACAAGAGATTCTGCAGCACTTTCCGATTGCATTATTCGATACCACTCATAATTGTTTTTCAAAAGTCCCGCCCTTTATTATTTTTTCAGAATTTCATGCTTTATCTAGCTTTACTGTTAGTGCTACACGTATGTAGATGTGATGAATCGCTCCCCGTTTATGTAAACGGTGTCAAACCAGAACTCACTTACAACGGGGAGAAACTGAAATTTGGTATGGGAGCGGTCAAAGACTCATATGGTGCAGCTCCATTCCTTCAAGTATGACTCACAATGTAATCCATCATTCCCCATATCTAGGACTTTTTTAGATCCCAGTTGGTGACGGATCACAGCTACGGGTGCCAAAAGCATTTTATCATTATACGGAAAGAGACTTGGGAGCAGATGCAGGTTGGGGTGTACCTAGCGATGGTAGGCTTATGGCACTGAACACCTTGGTGAAGAACAATAGAAAGGAAATAAATGGTGTCTATTTACCTTTCCCGAATATGGATCCCATCAATCTGCATTTCATTTCACAAAAGTGGGTTTTTACTCATTGAGACAACCTAGAATTAAAAAATGACGTAATGCAGAACTTTCGAAAAAGGGATCGACACTTCTGCACAAGATGGAACTCCTAGTGGTGCGCTAGAAGCAGCAAAAAGGTAAGCAAAAATCTTCTTTATAGTCTAGTAGCTTTGACGGTCATTCAGTGCAATTGCGGTGCCGACAACACTTGCGCGTAGATAGCAAAAACGCAAAGCGGTATGTTTTGCGTCCCATAGCTCAATTGTTCACGCACAAGTTTCGTCAACAACGCAAAACACTACGTATAATCCACCGAATTTGGGATGTAGTGTTACTAGAAGTTTCTTGTAATTACTCGAAAATAGGATCTGCCGAATTTCTTCCGAAGTTGAATGCGAGGAAGCGCTACTGCACTACCACAGGACAAAAGCTAATGCTCTTCGACAACAAAGCAAACCCTTGCATCAACAACTTCTCAACTTGGTATGTTACACAAAAATTTTAGACATTTGATGATTTTCCGTTTAGAGCGATTTGACCTCTTATTCGACACTGCGCGACCGGGAAGGCGGTGGATTGGGAGTCGTGGTTGGGGTCCCTGGTTACGATCCCTTGTACGTAGGAGCTGCATTAGATGCAAACAAAGATGCCAAACTAGGACTTCGATTTTCGCCGCCTGAATGAAGTCGGAGATTCTGCAGTACAATCTCCCTAATAATAAGAACATACCAAAGATATAAAACTAATAAATATGTATTCATTTCCAACATGATCAAAACAGCTCCTAACAAAAGTTCACTGCTGAAACTTCACATTACTCTTCTCCTATATGCGTGATTTTGTTCGTTCTAGTTGAGCAAGGAAACGTTCTATCACGGCACAGTACTCGTCTGGGTATTTCTTGAGGTGTTCGACGTGATTTGAATCTTTCAAATGCAGCACATCCACTTGCTTTCCTTTTTCGGCGACAGCCTCATGAAACTGTGTCAGTGATCTGCAAAGAAATTTCGCACTGGTGGACATGAGTGATAGATATCTAAGTACCAGTTCAAAGTGAGACATATGGGTAAAAAAATTGTAAAAATGACTTTTTACTTTATGACTTACATAGATTTTAGAATTTTTCGAAAATTCAAGTCAGCTTTTAGAAAAAAGTTTCCGAAAATTCTCTCAAACAAGACCGCGCCACCCCTCCACGAAT